AAGTCTTTAGCCCACTTATTTATTGGGCAGTTGTTTCTTTGAGAATTTGTTGTTGGAGGATTTAATTTTTTGAGTCCCAAGTATACTTTAGATATGAGACCCTTGTCCGTTGTATGGCTAGTGAAGATCTTCTCCCAATCTGTAGGCTTTCTATTGATCTTGCTAGCTATGTTCTTTGCCATGCAGAAGCTCTGCAACTTCATGCAATCCCATTTGTCCAACCTTTCTTAGATGTGTTGTGTTTCCTGGTCTCTATTAAGAAAATTTTGGCCTGCGCTAAGGAGACCTAGAGTTTCTCCTATTCCATCCTGTAATGTTTTCAGAGTGTCTGCTTTGACTCTGAGGTCTTTGATCTATTTGAGTAAAACAAAATATTTTAATTAAACTAATATTGTATCTTATTGAATGAATGCACAGTAACAAAACTGAACATGTCATTGTTACTCTAGATGTTATGCATGTCCATTATACTGAGTTTATGCTCTACTAATGTTTTATTTAAAGCAATTTTTTTCTTAAAAGTGTATGAGGAATTTTCTAATCAAGCAATTAACACATATATATATATATATATATATATTAAAGATGCTATACAGAGGGGTTATAGTTACATGAGCAAGGTAATGAGTCCATTTCCTATGGAGCATTGTTACCCTCCTCCTTTGTTTATACCCTACCATCCCTTTCCTCTCCCCCTCCCAACTCCTCCCCAACCATCAAGTCGTTTTTAAAGTAGCATTTTCCCTAACCTCCCAGCTAATTGGCTAATAGGCAAAGAAATTTGCTCTTCCATAAATTATTTGAATATTCACATTATCCTTAAAGATTGAGAGAAAATCATTGTTAAAAATAAACTTTTCAAGTTAGAAAAGCTGCATAGATTTTGTTACTTTTCTCCCATAGGAAATTATTGTGTGCTAATTTCTTAGGGCTTCCATAAGAATGTATTGAAAACTGGATGGCTTAAAATAATCTGGGAAAAACGAAGAAGGGGATAACAGTGCTGGATAAGAAATGCACTCATGTAACTGTAACCCCTCTACACAGTATCTAACAATAAAATATATAACAAAATAGAAACTTGTTATCTCAAAGTTCTAGTGTTATACAGGGTTGCGGTGGCCCTTTGCTATTTCTAAAAATACCCTTTAACCTACATAACATAATTTGTGTTAATGAGGGCCTATCGTGCCATGAATAGTAGGTTTGATTTATTAACCACTAATATGAAAATAAGCCCAAGAATCATGACCATCACTCTTTGTATTTGTACATGTCGCTTGTTTTGCATTTTGAACTTTATCATTATTTTTGGCTCAGTTTCACAGTAACCTGGAGTCCATATGGACTCCTCCACTACCAGGTTCCCATAATTTATCTGATAGAACATTTGTTTCCATTGAGGAACATTGACAAAAAAAAAATCACACCATTTAAAAACTCCAAGTCCATAGCTTACATTTGGGTGTACTCTTTTTTAATTTAATTAATTTATTTTGCATTGGCAAAATTTTAAAAAGTACACTTAAAGCACATAATAAAAACAACATACATCAGCTTCAGGGCCTGGATGACGGCTGCGGTGGTGACAAGTAGCAGCGGGAAAGGCGCAGACTTGTCATGTGGGACTTAGGCGCCAGGACATGGAGCAGCAAGGTTGACTCTTTACCATACTGAAACCATTAGGAAAAATCCTTGTGGTTAACAGCAGAGGCTTCAGAGTGTGTAACCTGTATTCAGGCTTAGAAATTATTTTAAATGGCGACTGATACGCCTCAAGGTGAACTCGTCCATCCTAAGACACTCCCACTTATAGTAGGAGCTCAGCTGATTCACGGGGACAAGTTAGAAGGTACAAGACAGCACCATGCCAATTTGAGGGGTTGTGAATTCCACCCAGAAGACTCCACCCAAAAGCAAGCTTGTTGAAGGAGAGGAAGAAAAGCCAGAGCCAGACATCAGTTCAGAGGAATCTGTCTCCACTGTAGAAGAACCAGAGAATGAAACTCGACCTGCTACATCTAATGAGACAAAACAGCCCAAGGGGGAGCCTGTTAAGGAAGAGAAGGAAGAAAACAAGTCTTCTGAGGAAAGGAAAAAGGGTGAGAAAGATCAGTCCAAAGAAAAGGAGAAGAAAGTGAAAAACAAAACAAAACAAATATTTCCTGGGCTACCCTTTCTGCCAGCCAGTTAGCCAGGGCCCAGAAACAAAAGAACAATGGGCTTCTTCTCTACATCCTAAGATGGATGCAATCTTAACTGAGGCTATTAAGGCATGCTTCCAGAAGCGTGGTGTGTCAGTGGCTGCTATTCGAAAATATATCATCCGTAAATATCCTTCTTTGGAACTAGAGAGAAGAGGCTAGCTCCTTAAGCAAACACAAAAAGAGAATTAAGTAGAGGAGTCATCAAACAGGTAAAAGGAAAAGGTGCATCTGGAAGTTTGTTGTGGTCCAGAAATTAAGAAAAACACCTCAGAAGTCTAGAAACAGAAAGAAGAGTTCTACAGTATATCCAGAACCACAAGTAAATTTGGAGGATGTGCTCCCCTTGGCCTTTAGTCGCCTTTGTGAACCCAAAGAAGCTTCTTACAGTTTCTTCAGGAAATACGTGTGTCAGTATTATCCTACGGTTAGATGTGAAGAATGCCCTGTAGAGAGCAGTAGAGCAAATAATTGGCAAAGGTATTTCCGGAACATTCCAGCTGAAGAAATCAGGGTAGAAACCCATGCTTGGTGGAAGCATGATGGAATATGCAATCTTGTCTGCCATTGCTGCCATGAATGAACCCAAGACCTGCTCCACCACTGCTCTGAAGAAGTACATCTTGGAGAACCACCCAGGAAACAATTCTAACTATCAGAAGTATTTGCTGAAGAAAACCCCGCAGAAATGTGAGAAGAATGGGTGGATGGAGCAGATCTCTGGTAAAGGATTCAGTGGCACCTTCCAGCTCTGCTTTCCTTATTTATTACCCCAGCCCAGGAGTTCTATTTCCAAAGGAAGAACCAGATGACTCTAAAGATTAGAATGAAGATGAAGACTAGTCATCAGAAGAAGAATCTGAGGATGAACAGCCCCCACCTAAGAGAAGGTTGCAGAAGAAAATTCTGGCCAAGTCCCCAGGGAAGACTGTATCCATGGAGCAGAGAGGATCCAAGCCTACACCTAAAGTCCCAGGTGTCCAGCAGGGGAAAGCTAAAACCCTACACAAGAAAGCCCCTCCTAAGGCCAAACCTCCTGTCAACAAAGCCAGACTCTCACCCTCAGTGAAAATAGCTCCTCAAAAAGCCTGCAACCAGTACAAATAAGAAGGTGAAATTGCCTGACACGGGTAAATCCACTATTAAGAAGTCTTTCAAGACAAAAATATGAATTGTCACAACTGTGTTTATTGCAGCATTATTCACCATAGCTAAGATATGGAACCAACCCAGATGCCCCTCAGTAGATGAATGGATCAAGAAAGTGTGATACACACACACACACACACACACACACACACACACACACACACACACACACACACACACACAATGGAACTCTATGCCTCCATCAGGAAGAATGACACTGCCTCATTTGCTAAGAAATGGAAAGAAAGACTTGGAAAAATTATATTAAGTGAAATAAGCCAGGCCCAAAGAAACATAAGTCCCACGTTTCCCCCCATTTTCAATATAGTATATGTCTAGGACAAGCAGAAAAGGTTAAAAGCTATGTACATATGACCATATAAGATCATGTTAAGTGAAATGAACACCAAGACAGGAACACAAGCGTTTTTTTACCTTACTTGTTGTTTTTAATGTACTTAAAATGTACTAAGTGAATTTTTTGTTTCTTTTGTATGTTCTTCCCCCATGGTATAGCCTCTGTTTTCACCTGATTCCAGTTCCCTTCATCTTGTGTATACATCTTTCTAATTTGGGGAGGGGAAGGGAAACAACAAAATGCTGAAATAAGGATAAAGGTTGACCCTTGTAACAATGAGATATACAAGACACTGTGTTGAAAATGAACTTTAAAACTTTGGGGCAGGGAGAAGTTTGGGATGTGGGGAGGGAAGGGATGATAGAGCAAAAACAAAGGAGGGGGTAACAGTGCTCAATAGGAAATATACTCATTACCTTATTCATGAACTGTAACCCCTTTGTACAGTATCATTACAATAAAAATATATTTAAAAAGTAAATTGTATAGGAAGAAAGGTTATCATGATAAAATTCAAAAGTCTAAATATTTTATGAGTCAGTATGCATTTGTTTTAGTTTAATGCTTTTAAATTTAAGTTTTTCCTTCCATGTGGATTTTGTGAGGAGGAAACACAAAGCAATCTAGGTATTTGTTAGCTTTAGAGCACTGTTGCTCGTGCCTGCCCCTTCTCTCAGTCACTTTAATTTCTTTAGTATCCTGGACTCCCCTCCAAACTATGGAACTTGTACTACTCTTTTTGCTCTCCCTCCTCCTACCTTCATTCTGTTTTTTTTCTTTTTCTTTTATTTTTTTTGTATTTGGTTTTTTTTTTTTGGGGGGGGGGGTCCGGTCGTGGGGCCTGAACTCTGGGCCTGGGCACTGTCCCTCAGGTCTTCAGCTCAAGGCTAGCGCTCCACCACTTGAGCCACAGCGCCACTTCTGGCTGTTTTCTTTTTCTTTTTGCTTATGTGGTACTGAGGAATCAAACCCAGGGCCTCAGGCATGCAAGGCAAGTGCTCTACCACTGAGCCACCTTCCCAGTCCGCCTTTTTATTTTATTTTTTTGAGTGATCTGATTTGGCTTTTCTTCCCCTTCCAATTTTATCTAAACAGTGCAGAGATATTTTTATATTTGTAGAAAGCATCAAAAACAGGATACTGGTCAGGTGGTAGAGGAAGCAGACTAGCACTGACTGAATTGCAAAGCTTTCCTAGAGCATTTACATAGACCTAAAATAACTAATCCTATATCTAAAAGTCACTCCATCTAACCCTTTCTCTTCAACAGTAAACCCAGTGGTATTTAGCCATTTTCCCCTTGGTCAGCTCCTCGGTATTTCCACAGGCCCAGAGCACTGCAATCCTTAGAGGTGAGCACAACGTCTGCCACTTGACTTACAGCAATGGAAAAGTATGCAAATATATTGAATCTGATTTCTGGTGTTACCTATGTTACCAAAAATCAAAGCATATAAAGTTTCCTTGATCAAATGTTGAAATACATTTTTTTAGTATTCGGAGAATGAATTATCACTTCCTGCTTTTCTTAAAAGGAAATGTTGGAGAGTTACATCATTTCTAATGTAGAAATGTTAAGAAATACAATTTGCTAACATAAAGTAGATGTCAGATTTGTCTGTGGGTTTTCCCTCCTTTCCAAAGCACTTTTGATATTAAACAAGTGGCTTCCTTTTTGAAATAGTTTTTTTAAAAACTAGAAAAAGCAAATGAAGCCCTACTACCTAACCCTTTTTTATTTCTGTTTGTTTCAGTATTGTGAAGTTGTCTTAAATAGCACTAGCTTTCTACTTGAGAAATCCCAATTTCTGGTTGTCATATATCTTCCTTGTGGCACTTGACATTTTAATTGTCTTAAACTTTTTGGTGTACGTCTTCTGACCCCTTGAGTGCTGCCAGATGCAAAAAGGTGTTTGTTTTACATTCATTCCACTTCCATTTTCTCCTGGGATCCTTTTGCAGCATAAGTATAGCTGGGAAATGGACTTGAGAAAATGAGCTTGAATTAGATCATAATCATGTGTGATCACATCATGAGTTCATTGGAATTTGTGTTACCTGTTAAGGCAATCTTTTCTGTTTTAGATCTTCCTTTTTATTGTACATATATTTTGAAAAATATGAATCAACATGTAATTTTAAAGGCTGCGAAACAAAAAAAAATACATATATGAAAATGGAACCAGGTAACTTGAGAGGATGAATGGGGTTGAGGTAGATGAAGGTGAAGGGATGGAATAATAGAAAGAATGTTCAAGATGCATTGTACACATAAAGTGACCGGTTGAATTGAAACCCCTTTGTACAATTATTTAAAGATACTAAAATAAATTAACTTAAAATTAAACAAAAACGTTCTGGTGTTATCAGTGTTGATTGCTTCTGAGGCCAGTCAGGGAGAATTTGTTTCATGACTCTTGCTGTGCTCCGGTGGTTTGCTGGCAATCACTCTGCCTCCATCTTGACTTGATAGACACCCATGTAACTGCTTCATTACACCCTCTTTCCATTTGGTGTGTCTCCCCCTGGGCTCAAAATGTCCCCATATTTAGAAAAAAGTAGTCATATCAAATTAGAGCCTAATGAGACCTGACCTTAATTTTATCACTTACAAGGATATTCTTTCCAGTTGAAGTTATATATACTAAAATTTTAGGGTCTTGATTTCAGGATCTTGGGGCAAATGTCATAATAGACCAAATGAAGAGTGTAAATTTGAAATTTAGAGCACAAACAAAAATATGAGAGTACAGACCTCTTGGTGACAGATTTACATTAATGGAACAGAGATAACTATAATTTTTCAGGTAGGTCAATATATTTAGGCAAGATAGTTAGGAACAAGGAGCCATTAAAGGTTTGGCTGCATGGATAACTTCATAGTCCCAAATAATTCAACACATAATTCATGGACAGGGTGATTAAAAACTTCACAAATTGCTACCTATACTGTTTTATTTTGTTTATTATGAATATGGATACTCATACTGACCACAAAGAGTCAAGCTTTCTATAGTGATTTTTCTATTATGACTACAATATAAATGACAGCATAGATACTTACTTATTCCATGTAGGCTATTCATAATATATACTAGAATTCAGCCAAAGAATTAAGTCAAACTCCTACTTTGAACTGGACTTGCATGATGGAGCAATGTACTACTTCTAGATTCAGAGTAGATATAATTTTAATTAAAGTTTGAAGATACATTATTGTTATATTTAATTAAGATTATCAGACTAAAAGAGTCCTAGCTATTTAATTAATAACTAGGTTGGTTATTTAATAATCTTAAGTTGGTTGCCTTAAAATTGTTCAATAGTATTTCCTTATTAATATATAATTTTTTATTTTAATTTTATTTTTGTCAATTGTAGTTTAGTAGAAAAGTTTTGTTTAATTTTTATTAAACTAGTAATTTAATTAGTGTTTAGGAATTAAGGCATAAATCATTTTTATTTTAAATTTAAATTTCTGTTAAATTTTATACTATGTAACAAAGTTCAACAGAGGGATGCATCACTACTTTATATCACTGTCTCTAAATTCTGGGCAAAGAAATCAACTTGGAAAACAAAGTCCTCAGAAGAATTAAAATATAATCTAAGGCTATTAAATGACAGCAACATCACAGGATGCATAAACATAAATGTGTGTTTAACAGGCTTATCTAAAAAAATATAACCATGCAACATATTCCACAGAAATATACTGGTGGCTTTTGAGAGTAATGATAAGCCTTAGCATCAGCTGAAAAATTCCTATCTCTTCATGTAGTGAAATTTAAAATTTTTTTAACCATGTTTAGTCTGCATTACATTTTGCAACTTTAAATAATTAGTTCAAGTTCAAAGCAGTATTCCTCTAAATTGTTGCCTGTCTTCAAGCCCTTATGGAATTCTTCCATGGAAGAAAGTCTTTGAAGTCACAGATGCTCTGTTGAAATAATGATCGAAATTTAGTCTTTTATATTTAACAAAACAGACATTACCAATGACACTATCTTTACAAGTTTTATTTAAATCCTTAAACACTTTCTTTCCCCTAAGTATCTAAATGAATCATGGGCTATCAGATTAAATAAACAATAGAACATGCACTTTTGAATTGTCAAGTAGCTAATGAAGTATCAGTGAAAAACAAGTATACTTTTATTGCATGGAATGGCTTAAGAGCACAGCACAAGGAATTTTCAAACATAGACAAAAGCTGCTACCAGCTCACTCTGTGACTTTAGGAAATCTGTCTTCTTTGGTTCTTAAGGTACTCATTGATAAACCGAATGAGTTTGGCAAGCTAGTTACCACAGTTCTATTTTTAACATTCTTTATCTTTATGGCCTAATGCCTCACTTTAGTTCGTGACTTTTCAGTACTTCGTTTTTACTCCTTTGGATTATAAAACATACATATAGAAAATAAAATAAAATAAATGGATGGCTTAATGAGTTGTCATGAGAGGAGGAAGTTTATAACCAGCGTACTTGTTGAAAAATTAATCTTTGTCCACCATCCCATAAGCCCCATCATGAAACCCATTTCAATATCAGCTTCCTCTTCTTCCTCTCTCTCCTCTTTTTCTTCCTTCTCCTCGAATAAATTGAAATCTTCACCTTTTAACCAGTCCTCTGTCAGGCACCAGTGGCTCATACTTGTAATTCTAGCTACTTTAGAGATTTGAGTTCAGGAGGATTGGGGTTCAAAGACAGCCAACATATCAAGCTAGATATGGTGGCATGTGCCTGTCATGCACAGGAAGCTGAGAACTAAGGCTCCAGTCTAGGCAGAAAGGTGCATGAAACTAAATGGAAAGAAGCTGGATGTAGTGCAATGCACCTATCATTCCAACTGTGATGAAATGCATAAAATGGGTGCATCACAGTCCAGGTGTATATCTCGGACAGGAAATGAGACCCTATCTCAAAAATAAAAGTCTAAAAATGGGCTTGACACATGGCTCATGTGGTAGATCTCATATACAGCAAGCATGAAGCTTTGAGTTCAAACCATAAAAACTAAAAAATGTCAATTCTATCTTTGCATTCCTTGAAATCAGCTATTATTTTTCTTTATAAATTAAAATTATTGAGGTAAAATATACATACAATAAAGTGCAGATATCATAGTTCCACTGGCATTCATGTAACCAGCAGGCAAATTAAGATTTAGAATACTTCAGTTAATGAGGGAGAATAAGAAAGTAATAAAAGAAATGAATATGGAAAGGCCATATATGTATGTATGTAAGCATCATAATGAAGTCACTTACTTTGTTCAAGTCAATGTATTTTAATAAAATATAAACAAATTTAAATGTAAAAAGTATTTCAGAAAGAACTCCAAATGTTTGTTTTTGCCCTGTTGTAGTCAATTCCAACCCATCTCTATTTTCAGTCCCTGGCAACCACTGTTTGAGCACGGACTATGTGGAAGTCACTGTGTTTCAGAGAATGAAATTAGGAATATTTCTAGATGTTTCTAGCAAGCATTATTATGACTTTTATCATTTTTGTTTTTCTCACCCATAAACCATTCAACAGCAAGCACAGAGCAAGACAACCACTCAATACACACACACACACACACATAATGAAAATTTACTGACAAACAATTGCATAACAAATCCTGAAAATAATATAGTAAACATAAAAATTCTATATTTGTTAGTACATAAAATACAGGGGAGTTTTGAGATAAGGCTAGAAACTTCAGGTATATTGTGAAAGTCTTTGAATATCAGGATGATACTTCCTTATTGTTTGGAAGTAGGATATCATCAAAAGTTTTAACACAGGAGAATGATATGATTATAATTACACTTTAGGAATATCCGTCTAATGGTAGAGTGTAGGTATATGATAAAGGCATAAGCAAGAATTGGTAAAAATCAGTAAGTACATAATTACAGACAGCTTTTTTCAACCAAAAACACTGGCATTATCTTCTAGTTATATATACGATGGAGGCATATCATTACTCATTTTAGAATCCTCAAAAGTTGCTAAACATAGAGATAAATCCTGCAGAAATTCTTCAGCTGTTTATCAAAACTTTAAGGTGTGACATTTCAGAAAATTATCTTCTTATCACTATAATATTTTTATTTAAATCTTATAAAATCTAGATAAGATAGTTAATCTATCTGAATGTCAAATTTGTCCATTTCAAAATGTATTTTTTAATAAAATATTTTTTCAAAAGGTATTCGTTATAAGGCTATTGTATAGATTAAGTAAAATAATTTTTCTAAAACACTTACTATTGTGTTTTTCATACAGGAAAAACTCAGTAAATCTTAAATACTATTGTTATTCTTCTTCTTCTTATTATTATCCATTTGGCAACAACACTTCATATAGCTACT